TTATCAGAATTTAGCTGGAACCCGTTGGATTTGGTTAAACTCACTTTTCATAAAGAAAATCATTTTCATTGTGTGACATTTCGAGGGTAGAAGTTGAAGTTGTGATGGTTTTTTGAGGCTTTAAGGGACAGACTGAATCTCCATTTGTGTTCTTTTGGTGCTATTATGACCAACTTTATCTCCTTTTCTGCTTTTTCTTCACCTGACCGTCACTCCCTGCTGGCTTTGGGTTACTTTAAAGGAGGAAAATTGTGTGGATTTTTTTTACAATTGCTCCTTTTTCAGCCATTAATTGGCACCTGATTGAGGGAAGCTAATGTTAGAGGTTGCATTATTACTTTAAGGCCATCGGTACCAAGCTCAGACTACCACACTTAAAACCCTTCACATCTGCCACTGATCTCGCATTTGACTCATAAAGTCATTTGAGGATTTGGAAACTTATCACCAAGCAGCCGGTTCCAAATCAAAACTCAGCTCTTTGCATGCTTCCATCAGCTGCTTATATTTGTATCGTTCTCATGTCGTTTTACATTCACTGACTATTGGAAAAAATGGACGAACACCAAGAATCAATCCGATATCCGAGTTGCAACATAGAGCGTTCGAAAAATATTTGGAATATTCCTGCAAATTGCATCAATGTCTTTCCCTCCTCAGACCTTCCAAACACTTGATATGTAGGATTTCTTCATTTTGTGTCTGTTCTGTCAGTGAAAATGAAGGTTTTATTCTCAAACAACAGCCTAAATTTACAGGAATTCTTCAGTTTGATCTGTTTGCCGTCATTGGGCGAGAGGTGGGACGGGTCAGCTTATCACAATAAGACACACAGCCACACACACACACACACACTCCTGTTGACAATGTACCGTCCAGCTGAGCCCCATTCATGCTTTTGGACTGTTGGAGGACCTGGAGAGCATCCGAACTCCCACAGAAACAACCAGCCGGGATCAAAAAACCCCTTTGAAATAAAAAAGAAGAAGTTCCAGATGTGAAGAGACCCGATCAGGTGACCATTCACACGTCCTATATGACACCGATACAGTTTGGAGGAACAACAACACTTTAATGGTATCCAGAAGTTAGAAAATAAGATAATTTAAAGCCTCTGGGTCCCTGCAGGTTTTAGATGTTTCCCCCCTTCAAAACATCCGACTTAGATAAGATGGATCTTCTTAAAAGATTGTTCAGCTCTTCTCAGTCTGGTAAATTGGTTTATATCAGGTTTGAATCAGGTGTAACAAATATTCAAACCTTCATGAAGAGCATCTGAAGTTGGACGTCTCCGGAAAGTCCAGCCCAGGTGTTGGTTTCCATGTTTTTGCCTGTAAACATCTGGAACTGAGGAGACCAGCAGCTGGAGCTGTTGGAGAGGAATACTGGAACATTTATTCTTTTCATGGGCCGGCAGAAGAAAAAATTTAAAATTTAAGGCGATCTCTGTAAAAAATTTATGAAATGCTGTTTCATGAGATTTTATGAGCCTCCAAACATGGAGACACGTCGACTTCACGATGCCACACAAAGCAAGAAGAAATTTAAAGGTTTTCTTTATTTAGTAAGTAGAAAAATGTCCTTCTTATTTTATGACACGGTGCTATTTTGTGTACTTTTATGACTTTTTTCTGACCATTGGCTTCATTAGAATTTGCTGCACAGGAAAGTAAAGAAGCAGAGAAATCCCCAGACCCAGATCTGAGCCCTGAGGGCTTCAGCTTCTGTTAACTTGGAGTTTACTGAGCTTCATGGTGCTTGAGGAGTTTGTGGACCAGCTTCTGTCTGCAGGGTTTCATCCGGTCTGGACTCAGCTGGGCCCGGTTCGGCTTTCCCTTTTTCTTTGGTTTCTGGTTCCTGCTGGGTTCCTCCTGGTCCTCAATTAGCCCAGTTTCTCAGCCTCTTTCGTATTTTGTCGTTTCTTTTACATTTTACATCCTCTCTGCCCACCTGTGACATGTTTGGGAAAACTCCAGCCTTTTAAAAGGTCAATTTATGGTCCTTTCGATTGCTCTGAAACTGTTTGTTAATGAGTTGACTTCTCTCGCTTTGGCACATGAGAGCTGATATTCAGAGATAGCTGCGACAGACACAGTCTCTGAAGCTCTTATCATTTTGTGGACGCCCACCGTCTTATCCAGATAAATAAATAAGCAGGGTTTGGAGAGCTGGGCCCCTCCCATCCTTCGCCCCACCTGACATATTACGTCAAGGTTTTCCTGATGATAAAACCTCCTTCTGGGACTTCTACGATGAAAAAAACTGACTCTAAGTGTAGATTTTTGCCTTTTCAAGCTATAAAAAAACACATTTCCACCTCTGTTTGACAACAGCAAAGTAATTAAGTCTATAGAGTGCGATTAAACTGTTGATTTGACACCAGTTTCAAGCTTAATTACAGCTTTTTCCTCATGGATTCTTCATATGAGGATGTTTTGAAACCTCTGGGGGGGGGATTGGGCTGGAGTTAGTGTTGTTTTGAATTACGATCGAGCTTTCCGATTATTCCTGAATCCTCTGACAGGAGTCGGCGT